AGCCGTTCAATCGGCTGGCACCACGGTGTTGCTCGCACACGCTTCGATGGAGCTCGCAACGACTTTGTGTTTTACATTCTCGCTGGAATTTGAGCACCGAGAGAGCTTGGATGATTGACACCTCGCTCGGCTTGACGTCAGCGTCGCGAGAGTCCAATTAGCGCGTTCCGCAACTTTCGGACACAAAGTTGTGCTCGACGAGTTTAGCTACCCTAAACGCGCACCGCCAATCGTAATTTTTTTGACGCGTCGGTTCTAAAGCCCCTTGATGTTTCAGAGGTAGCGCAAGGTGCACCGATGCACGAGGCGCGTGAAACGTGCAGCCCTTGGGAAGATCATGGCGGCACAGCGCAGCACTGAGCAACGTTGGTACTGAGCTAGATTTCAGACGCCATGAATTTCCCAGAAGAGGCGCGCGGCACGTGCCTCGAGCATTTTTACAACAATGAATGGCGCCACTTTTCCCAGGATAGAGGGGCTTTAGTTGGTTCTATTGACGTGCGGATGCCTCGCCATTAGCTCAGAGCGACTTTCGCGTTTTGTTCTGAGCACATATGCTCGAGACGCGAGCTCCCTTTGCACGAGAATCGGTGCAGTCGGGCCGTGTTCTATACAAAAAGCTCGCGCATCGGGAAACAAGTGAAGGGCCAGGGAGGTCAATTTCAGGAGAAAGAAAAATACCCCAACTATACTCTGTTTCACCTTATGCTGTACCGCAGGAAAGGCTCCTTGCTCTACAACACATCTCTGCAGCACAAGCTCTCGTGCGGAGCAGCTCCCAACGCTTTGAGCTCGCGCTTCTAGAATTCCCTGCGGTACAACATAAGGTGAAACGAAGTATTCGCAACTCCAGCGCGCCGCTCGCCCTCCCGCGGACAAACGGAGAAGCAGAGGAGCGGGGACGGCAGCGGCAGCGGCGGCGCGGAAACGTCGACAGGGACTCTCGGCCTTGATGCGTGAAGCCGTTTTGACTAGAAAAGTGAGCGCGTTAAAAAAGAAATTCTTGTGCTCCGCCTTGCAACAGTCTTGCACGAAGGACCGGGATGTCTAATTTCATTAGGGACTTTTCGTGTATCGCATACGCTGCGGAATTCTGGTCTTGTGTATGACTGCCCGCTCAATCTGTGCTCAACGTGACGGAAAACGATCCCGCTAATAATGAAGAACTGTATAGTACGGTCTACGGAAGTCTATTCTTTGCCATAAGTAGGAGGAAACTTGTCGCGCAACGGTATGTCGAGCAATACAAATCGGCAATGGGTTCGCGTTTTAAGGCCGTTACAAGGAACATGACCATTTATTCCAAGCACTTTAAAAAGACAGAATACCCGTACTTGCTTTCAGGAAATCACAAAGCAAAAAAAGAAATTATCGAAGCATTTTGAGCGCGTCTGTGTTAGCCAGCCAGCCGTTCGTGACGAGAGCTTAGAACGCGCAGTTTTGGCCAGAGGGACCGCAATGTTGCAAATAACACGGTACAAAAAAATGTATGGTATATTAAAATATTGATTTTTAATAGAGCAATAAATAAAACCCATAAACGCGCCGATTATGTTAACAGGCAGTTTTTGCATAGCGCACGACACCCCTAAGCTCTAGTTCAACGTACAGCGCAGTGAGTTTCAACCGGCGCTATCCAACTTTCACGAGCGGCTTGATAGCCGAGTTGTGCAACTTATTAAAATAGCTTAAAGGGCAACTCCACTCAAAAAGTCGACCCTATCGAAATGACTGATATCGCTTTAGGAGGTCAAAATACGGTCATACCCAAAATATCACGTCAAACCGACGCCGCGTTACCGATTAAAACCAATATTAAAAATGTTCTCCCGGCTCGGTTAGCGGCCCGAAAGCGGGTAAGCAACGCTGGCACCGGGTGAGCTAGTGAAGCAACACTGGGCAATGACGTAGGTCTAGTCCTACGCTCTCGTACGGACGCTGCGAACGCTTCGTTTCCCGTGGCATTCTGCGATTCTGCTGACGGCACGAGGTGTTTTCCACATTATCCTGTGTTCTCCTATTTTTATTAGCGTCCAGGCAGTTCCTTGAATTCCAGCATTGCTTCCGCGACAGCGCGGAAGAGAGCGAAGCGGTGCTGCTCGCTCACGCGCGCGTCGTGGAGCCGGAGAGATTCGCCGGTCTCGCGTTGGGCAATGTCGATAAGGATTTGTAGTGCTGTGGGTTTTACCAACAACCCGGTGTGCAACTCGGAGCTGCGGTTCCACCAGTTCCGAAGAGACCGGAAGAGGCATAAGGTGTGGGTCGGTGCCGTTCGCCGGATAGACTTCGGAAGACCGTTGACTCCGAGCTCCAACGCGAAGCTCTGCTCCCAGCACTTTACGTCAGACACCTACACACGGGATCTGCGGCTGCTGACTGTTGCGGGTTTCACCGCAAAACAGGCGTCTTTGAAGAACGATGCGGTGCCGTCGTTGTTCGCGTACCGTTCGCCGGCTGCCCCAGCACGATCGGCCGGACGCAGCAGGTCGCGGCTGATCTAACTAGCGTGCACATAAAGGCACCTTGGCTTTAACAACTTAGACCACTTGTGGATAGATCTGTCCATCTATCTCCCATTATTTCGTTTTCTCGGTCCGCGCGCAAGAAACAAATACAGTCACGCTGCGCTGGCACCGACCGCGTCATATTTATAGCAGTCGGATTCGCTTTTCGGCCGGCAAATTTATAAATACACACTAAAAATTACTACATTTGGTGCATATTAACAAAGTGAAGCGGTAAAAAAAGAAAATGTGCATCTAACCTTCTGTTTTGAAACTCCACGTGCGACTGAGCCGACCTTGTCGGCGCGTCGGCTCAGAAGCGCGGGACTAGAACTAGGTCATGCCGACAACGCGCCACTAGTATCAGTGTTGCCAAGCTGCTTCAACCGGTAGTTTCGGTTTCGCCGTGCCGACGGACCGATTCTTGCATTCGCGATATCTACAAAACTATACTCACTACCGAAAAACAAATTATATCTCGTGATTCAGGGTCGCCGGCTTCGACTAAACAGATCATAACCCAAAAATGGTAAAAATGGAGTGGAGTTGCCCTTTAAAGTAAGTGTAAAGGACTGTAAAAAAAAAGTAATCGGGGTCTTCTGGTCTTTACTGCAAAACCTCGGCGTTTTTTTTTTTTTTCTCGGTACTCTTTGATGCGTACTTTAACTGTTTAATATCTTATATTGCGCCGTCATCAAGCCTCTCGTAAAAGTTGGGGCCGTCAGTTTGACGTCAGTGGGCTGCACGGCAAACTGAAGTTTTGGAGTGTCGTATATGTGACAAGGGGTATAAGAACTACAACATTATTTTTTTTTTTTTTTAGAGTGATGAGCACGGCAACGCTTCCGGAGCGCACTGAGAATTGTGCTTCAAAGGCGTAGCGCGAGCTTGCAGTTGTAATGCTACACCGCACGGTAGCCTGCGGTTATAGACGTTCTATCAATAACCATAGAGCAGTTCGCTTGCGTGTGGCAAAACACTAAAACCGAGACGGTGAGCAGCGAGTTATGAGGCTGGGATGCGAAGACACCAATGCTGTGAACGCTGCTCTTCCGAAGCTTGACGGTCACCGTTCGCGGCTTCATATTTAGAGAGCTAAGGGCCAGGCACAGTGCAAACATATCTTCATCACCCTGACAAAACTTCTGCCACAAACAGTGACGTGGCCGGTGCCTAAAACGCGCTCGCTCACCACAAAGCTTCGCAATTTGAGGTTTCTGCAACTTTTAATTAACAGCATGCTAATTTTCCTAACGTGCATACACATCTCCGTCACCTGTAATATGATTCCTCCCTAACCGCTTCGCATTGGTAGACAAATAAATCATTTTTAGCGCGCTGAACAGCGTCAGCGAGCAGGCGCACGGGATATCCTGGAGAATCTATCCCCGTCTCTTCCGAAATTTTGGAACTACCGTCCCGCCACCTATAGGGCGTTGGAGTTGCGAATAGGGTGCCTCAATGTGCGTCTGTCACAGGGTGAAGACACCCATTGTTGTATTGAAAACTGTCTGCGCGTGCCAAATGGGCCTTAAAATGGCGCCAAAGTACCGGGCAGAGCTAAGCGCTTGCTTCGAACGAGGCGGTAGCACGTGCATTCTGGGGCAGAAATTTGGCCGAGATGCCATTACCCTAAAGCCTGGTTCAGACAGTTACGTTTGACTGCGTTGCGGCAGCGAGAAACCAAGACATCCCTGCTGCATATGTCGCGTGCCAAGATGATTCCTTGAATTGGATTCCACGCTTCATACGAAGCACAGATGTGCCGGTGACTCGCTTTCGGTTCTCGACGCAACATAGTCAAACGCACTCAGACGCAACTGTCTAAACCAGGCTTAAGACAGACGTGGCGCCTGTGTATGAACGCTCTCTAACCCCAACTGTACTGAAGCGCCACTACACACAATTTATAGCGTTCATGCACAGGCGTGGAAGACGATCCCATCACCATCTGATGGTTTCTAATCACACTAACCGAGGGTGGGGTTTCACCAATTAAAAAAACAATTATGCGGAAACGAAAGCTGTCTGACGACACTCCCCCAAGATATAGAGGAGGGAACGCACCCAACCACTCTTGGTCTTGGTGAAAATCCTTCTAAAAAAAATCACGCTTCGCGTAACTTTATCTCGGTGTACAACCCTGCGCCGCCTGTGGCGATATTTCACTCTTCCTATCGTCAATCATCTTGGATTTCTTTTTTTCAATGTCGACTGAATAAAACATGTTTCAGTGATTTCACAACGAGTAAATAAATGTTTGAAATGTACAACATCATGTCTAAAAAGTGTATTTGATACAGAGATATGCGTATCCCGAAACAAAAGTTGTATAGATTTCGGTTTAAAAGGATTATTTAAACACTCTACAAAAAAAAAAAAAAAAAAAAAAAAAAAAAAAACTTTTCGAAACGTAATATGTAACTGTTCGTTTCCCTGATTCCACCCATCGTGCGAATAAATTACTGACATTAATACAATCTGTTCATACCGCAGTATGGCTCGAGCCTGTGGCTGACCGCCTGGTCTCAGAACCCGGACCCATCTCGGAGGCTGGGCTACATGCTGGGCTACGGAGGGCTTCTGACAACCACAAGCGGCTTGAGCTATATTGCGTGGCTCTCCTTCGTGCTCGGCTCCCTCCGAGCGGCTTTTTCGTTCCACAGTTCGCTCCTTGAAAGCGTTGTCCATTCTTCGATTTCTTTGTTTGACACTACACCAGTGGGAAGGCTCGTCAATAGGTGAGTAGTTTGACTATTTACCTATCGATCAACGCAGATACTTGCATGCACCATGAAAGCTAACCCAGGATCGGTTAAAAGCCGCGGTAAACGGCGCGAACCCGGGCAGCGATCGCTCAGTACACCTTTTCCCTTTATTTTTAATTTTTTTCTTTAAAAAGAAAGAAAAAGGAAATGCCGGATTACGCGAGATTTGCTTTCCGTCCGAGGAGCAGGAATATCAAGCTCGCCGCGCTAGGCAGAGTCATAGCTAGCAGTTCGACGACGGACCCGCCCGGTCGCAGGTTTGGAGGGCGAGGATCTGGTAGCACAGAGCATCAAAGGGCCCTTTCTCGGGAAACCTAGAGTTCCTGTATAGGGAGCCAGAGTTGCGCATTTGTTTTCCCCGCGCCGCCATGCCGCTATTCGCCGAGATTCATCACGTGAGAAGAAAAGCATCCGGTGGCGTGCAAGAAAGCCACCTTTACGGTCGCTCCGCCGACGTTTCTCTTGCCCCGGCGTATGTTTCCCTGCTTTCCGCCTCCTTTTCCTCCTCTCCTGTTTTCCATGCGCGGCGGCGCGCGGCGCCGCTATTCGCCAAATTTAGTCACGTGAGGAGCAAAGCATCCAGCTCGTGCGGGAAAGCCGGCGCCACGGTCACGCCCCGAGGCTGAATGCGCAACTCTGCTACCGTAGGTAGCTATACAGGAACTCTAAGGAAACCCGGACGTCAGCGCACAGCTTTTGCAGTGGCGAGGACCCGAAACACACTTGTTCGCTCGGGAGAAGTGCGTTTCGGCGTCTCGCCGCAGCGGGACGCCAGTCACGTGGTTCTCCTCTCATCCGTCGTCTGGTGCTCCCCCTTTTCCATTTCGGCGGCCGCTTCTCGTGGCAATCTGCCAGGCTTTGTCAGTACATAGGAGGCTATGGCAGAGTAGACGGAGGGCCGCAGCAGCACTAGAACAGCAAAGGGCGCAGGACCCCGACTACTATCACGCACGAGATGCAGAGCATATGCCAAAAGCATCAAGACCGAGCCCCAAGTCATCGGCTAAAAGCAGATCACCTAAAGGACATCTTCCGACAACACAACAGGTGCCGCTGTCAATCGTAGCACAGTTCGTGTGGTCGTTTGCAATTTTTATTTTCTAGTTAACCCGCTTTCAGACCTTCCAAAGGTATTCGCAACTCCAGCACGCCGTTCGCCCTCCGGCGGACGAACGAAAAACTAGAGGAGCGGAGACTGCGGCGGATATGGTGGTGACGGAGTGTCGGCCTTGGTGCTGTTCTTGTCGGCGTGTTCGTGCATCATACAGTTCTTATTTTTAATGCCAACGCATTAACTGTCCCATGGAACGAACCGACATCATCAGCTTTTGAAGCCGCGCCAAACGGCACTTAAACTCCCCTGTCCCAATGGAGCGAGTCCTTTCTAACACGCGTCACAGTTTCAAGGAACGAGGCTCCCATTGGCTCTCGCGCGGCGTAGTTCCGAAGGACGCCACCAGAGAAGCCCTCTCCATGGCGGCGCAGCATACGCAGTTGCCCGGCCGCCGGTAAGAGGGAGTGCCTGGCTGCAGAGCACGCACGGGCAAACTCCAAACAGGCTGCGCGGCCGAGATCAGCGCGGCGTGGCCACTTCACGAGAGCGCGCGCTCGGCCGTCGGCCGCTACCGTGGCAGCAGCGAAACGCGGCCGTCCACGCCAGTGCGCCGCAGATGAACTGAGGGCGCGGAAGAACGACATTCATGCTTTCGCATTCACAACTCATAAGAAGTCCTTAGGTGTCCTCGGATTTTGTATTTATGTACTTAAATTTATATTGTTGGCCTAATCACTGACAGGTACAGGGGTGGGTTCATTGACTTCTAGTCACTGAAACTAAGGGGGTGCAACCACAGCGTAATTTATTTTAGTGTAAGCGAATTTTTAGGAAAGAAAAAAAATAAAAGAAAAAAACTTGCAGAAATTTTTAGTTACCATCATTTGATGATTCCAGCGAATAAAATAAAGAATACGATATATCATTAACAAGAAACGAAAACAGGCTGGCCACAAACAAATACTTATACTGAGCGGTCGTTGACTCATCGGCTGCGGAAATCAAGCCATGAGAGTATAATTCCCCGAAACATCTGTGAGAAAACACATCGCAGGAACAAACTTGTTATAGAATATTAATTATAATGGCGTTTACATGCCACCATAATTAACCTTTGTCGGCATTTTCCGTGTCTAAACTTGCACTCGCTTTTCGTTAATTTTGCATGATGTTCAAAGACGTTGTAGTTGATTACCGCAGTTCCTAAAAGCATTTCTTAGAGTTTGCAAGATTGGGTTGCGGGTCTCGACACCTCGATCCCAGCCCGACTCGAGCCCAAAGCACCTCAAAATTAATGCGGCCGAGTCCGAATCCGAACGATGCGCTCATATATTGGTCCGAGCCCGACCCGAAAATCGGGTCGAGTCGGGTTCGCCGTTTTCGGGCTTGTCCGAGTCGACGCAGATCCCTACTTCAAATTGTGCGTGAACTTCCCGTTTGGCCTTTCTGCAGTTCATTCGATTTGTTTTAATCCCAGGTTCAGCCGCGACATCGACCTGATAGACAGGGACGTTCCATTTTTCGCTGTCATGACTATGAACTGTCTGGTGGCCATGCTGATCCTTGCCGTAGTTGTCTGCCTACCGTCCGCTTACTTCGGGCTCATGATGCTGCTGGTCACGATCCTCTTTCTGGGACTCATGGTAAGATTATTCCTCGGTACGAACCAACGAGGTAGAGGGGCTTAGAGCGGTAAACCGGGGTTCCGGTCTGCGCTCGAAAGTGACTATGCTGGCCCCAGCTGGGCCGGAGCTTGTCGGATGCTTTGTTGGTTGTCGTTCGTCTCGGCGAGTTGATTTCAGACGCGGAAGCCGTCATATGAGGCCGGTCGAAAGCGAGTTCAGAGTTCAGAATGGTGTTTGACGTAGGTATAACGTGAAAATACGGAGGAACGGTGTGCATTTCGCTGGTGACCGACCGGGATATTGCCACGGAAGAGACAATCTGACCTACGTTGCTCGAACCTCGGATTGATTCGGATACCGCTAGGATAAAATTTAAGGCGACGTTTCTGTGCTCTCGTTGACCATCGGAATCTTCGAGGTTTGCAGTGAAGCGTGTGCAATACATTTGGATACACAGTTTAGCGACGGAAATTGCGTGAGTCGTGCTTGGCGGTGTGCAATCGTGGTGCAGCTTCGATCAAATGACTGAGGGCTCACTTCGGTTGTACGGCGCACCGGAAGGCTGCCTTGAAGCTGGTAGTTCCCGTGCCGTGCTGAATGATGCTGTGCTGCTTACAAATTGTTCCGGCGTAGAAGTGCACTTTCACGGAGCACAGGTGTGCGGCGCACCGAAGAGCTGCCTTCAAGCTGGTAGTTCCTGTGCCATGCTTTAGGTGATGCTGTGCTGCTTCCGAAATTGTTCCGGCGTAGACGTGCACTTTCACGGAGCACAGGTGTTGCAGGTGGTATTGATCCCGCTGGTCTGTCGCACGTTTCGTCAACACAAACGTTTCATCCACACTCGTTACGCAAAATGCAAGCTGTCCGGACATTTCATCGAGCGTGCTACGTACCCAGCTCACGCCGCTTAGTGGCAACAATCTGCAGTGGCTCATTACCAGAAAAGTGGTCCCACATCCATTTCAGTTCAGTACGCCCACGGCAGTCGCCAAACCCCGAAGGAGAGGATTTATTCGGACAGAATGCCACTAAAGCAATGCAGCTTCTTCAGTGGTCAGGATAGATTCTCTTCTGCGAGTTTTGTTATACTGTCACGGATCCTTGTTCCAGTCCTATCTTCTATCAATATTCACTATTCTGGGACACTGCAGGTCATGCTCAGCTGTAATCGTATGTTCTGGTGGAGGTGCTGGGCACTTTACCCATAGCCCTACACTCTGTGTGAACCCGGCGGCTCTTCAGCCGAGTTACCCGATAATGGGACACGGCTGGCGGACTATCCTGTGTCTTATACCCCCGTCGAGCCGTAAGCAAAGTCCTGACCCGAGCCTGGCAGAACAACCGCAAGACGACCGAGTACCACAAGGAGTAACCTCGGAAATACACCACGAAGCACCTGAAATCCGAGCCAGTTGCTGCTACCAGGAAAAACAACCGGAATTCGGTCTCCTGTCAGAAAATCCGAAGCTGACTAAGCCAACAATGACAAACCTGTAGCAGCAAACTGTGTGCCCTCCCACCATTGTTTGCATGCCCGTCGCAAATCACACTCCGACGCTTTTTCACGCAAGTTGTATGAAGACGTCAAGGACTGGATTGAACAATATGACAGTGTCGCCCGCCACATTGGGTGGACAGACAACAAGCTCCAGCAGAACCTATACTTCTCGTGGAAGAAACTGCTGGCGCTGGTCTGGGAACCATGGATCCTCCTTAACGTCATGGGAAGTTTGCAAGATCGGACTGAAGCGCGCATTCGTCAGCCAACATCAACGAGAGAGAGCCGCATTCTTGATTCTGTCCAGGACACTGCCCCCACGAGAGCGCCACCGCACTCGTGGAGGATGTTTTGCGCTTTATCGAGCGCCCACGCCCACGCCCACGCCGACCTTGATGCTACAGAAGACAAGAACCTAAGAGTCCCATGCCCCTCACGTGAGGGACAACACCTTCGGCAGCCTTGTCCGCAACCCCCCAACAACAGTCGAAGTGTTCATATCACCGAGGCTTCCAACATAGAATGTGCACTGCATGCCCAAGCCTGCCACTATGAACAACTTCCCGGCGTCTCGACACTCGAGTTGTCCAGCTACTACTTCGACGCCAGCCTCCCAGGCATCCACGATATCATCCACGACGTTGTCTGGGAGGAGATCAGGAAGCCACTTCCTGCCATCAGTTGCCCCGCTTTTCTTTTGATTGCCGAGATTGTTTGGGAACAAGTTTGACAGCTATTTCAACCGAGACTTCTGCGAGCGAAGCGGCATCTGACAAACCAAGGGCAACTTACGCCACAATGGCACGACGACCGCCACCGGCTGCCCCTTAGTATTCAATGCCAATTCAATGAGACACTCTAACACCGAAGCATTCCCGACATCGTGTGTAGGTCTGTGCTCAACAAAGTACACAAAGGAAAACGTAGGTGATGCGAATGTGCGACCGAAAACCACTTTGCTACCACTGCATGAAGCCGACCATGTCTTTTAAAGCAGCCCGTACCAATGAATTGGTCTGCGAGGGTTCGTGCCAAACGACCCTCGATTACGTCTCGAGGAGCGACCACGGGAGATTAAGGATTACCTTCGGCGACCTTTGTCCCTGATGCCGAAGGCGCTGAATCGAAGATTCTGAATCCCTGATTACCCCGAAGCTCCTCATGTCCATCACCTCAGCAAGAGGTAAGCACGACAAAGCAGGTTAACGGCGATGCAGTGACAGTGGATTTGGTGTCGGTTGTCGTCCAAGGACAATACCTAAAAATTTGCTGACACCAATTTTCTGTGTCCACTCCACGAAGCACACAATTTCCAACTTTGAGGGAGAATACCCCTGACTTGAAGGAATAGAATGGTTGGTTGCTCTCAAAACTGAACTGCAAGCATCACCAGATTTAGATAGCAAACAAAAATTGTTGCCAGCTATCAAGTCAACGGTACAGCAAGAGGCACAGCCACGTAAGCAATACATGCCCGAGCTTGCTGCATTGATGCCGAAAACTACCAGGAAATATTTCGGATTAGAAGCCAGCCCTGCAGCTTCAGTGCATCAGACGTCAGTGGCCGCATATGACGTATGATTACAAGACATCAGTCGGTCAAAATTGCCACTCGACCAAACTGAACACCGACGTGCCAGGAGCGTCATCCGACAACAAGGTCCACACATAATACGACTGAACGTCTGACACGAGACTGTCGCAGAAAGAACTTTTTATGGAACCATTTCCTAAGAATCAATAATTATGTAATCAAGTGGAAATAAACATATTTGATACACTAACCAGATAAACATATTTCCGCTTGCCTTCATGCCTCGAGAGTCTACACACCGAGAATTGTGTCCACTGCACGCTCTGGACATTACGAGGACACTCGCATCTCTGACCCTTCAATATTAATTAAGAGGTCATACCAGACTGGCAGACTTCTTGCACGGAACTGCACTCGTTCAACCTTTCCTGAACATGTGGTGCATCCGAAAACCAACTCCAGTGATGTGAAAATGTTATTTATTAATTTATTCCTTCCAGGGGCCTTCGTAGGCATTGCAAAGAGGATACTTAGAACTACACACATGATAATAGCATTAAAGCACACTGCTGTAACTTGTTAATTGGAAAAACAAACACACCTCTGAGCATATAGTTTAATAGTATGTGTTGATGCATTGTTATATAGCTTGACACTTCTTATATGTATGACACAATAGTCCCTTTGCAGAACCTTATCAAGCAACACAACTGTCACCATTTTTTTCAGCGTATAGCACACCAATGGGCCCCAGTTCACGTCGAACGTTAATGCAGCATTCGAGTCCAATAGGTGCTGAGCCGAATTCACAGGGATGGCCGACATAACATTCTTGTCGAACAAATGCCCAAAGTATGAAAGCCTGGGGTAATTAGAGTAGTAGCTATAGTAATTTGTTTCATCAGAATTTGGCAGACGGCAAAGGCTACGGTCTCGGTGAGTCAATACACACATTGGAGAGAGGAACATGACAACATAGCATCAGAGTGCTCGTCTTCACAGATTTGTCACACACCTTCGCTCCGTCTCTCTGATTGGCTCGAGGGGGCTGTGGCGGTTGGCCTTTTCCAAGTTACGGTGATGCGAAGTATAGACAGCCCACACTTTTAAAAAGAATCTATTGAAGAGACCGAAAGGAATGGTAGTCAACATTTTTTAACAAGACTGCTCTCCAGGCAAGGGATGAACACAAATATGAATCATCCTATCCAGGTAATTAGAACAATTAAATAATTGACCGTCTAATACAATGCACTCTTGATGGAAAAGAGTATAGCTGCAATAAATCCTACAAAACAGAAAAAATGCTGAGTTAATCTATGCATGCACCAAAACAGTTGTTCTTATAGCAAGTCGAATAGCTTTGAAGCAGGCGCCTGCAACGATTTATTCTTCCCCATACTCAATAAAACGCCATCCTCGTAACTGAAAATAAGGGTGCACTTCGCACTCACACACACACACAAAAAAAAGGAAGAAAAGCGATCGAATGTAGAATCGTGGATTAGCACAAAAGGTTAAAATCGCAGGAGCTTCCTCGCTAAAAGTTGCTATGGTTGTTCGGTGACGGAGGGCTGAAACAACTTCCCATAGGCCCTAACGCGACGTATACATTTCGCGTAGATTCTCAGATATTTCAACGTTCAAACAAAGCTAAGAGAATGCGAAAATTTCATGTTAAAAGCACTCAAAGTTCTATCGGTCCTCGGACACATCCCGGAATGCGAGCACCGGTACGGCGATGCAGAGCTGATGCTGTCCAGATGATCCAGAGCGATCTTGCGGAAAAACGGTATAAAGTCTCATTCCTTCATATTTTCACATTATACCTGCGTCAGCGAGCACGAAAAGCCCGAAGTCGTCGGAAAGCAGCTGCACATCACGGCTACCGCGCACCGAACAAACTCGCATCCGCCAGCTCTGGGCGCTGCCATCTTACCTGTGACGTCACGGCTCTTGGGAGGTCACGTGACGAGTGGTCACATTTGCGTAAAATATGGCGGCAACCGGGGGGGTGCTACTTCCGAACTTCCGGTTTATCACTCTAAGCCCCTCTACCTCGTTGGTACGAACTCAACTCTGTTCCGCCACGGCGCGGTAGTGGCGCGTCGGGCGCACTTCCGATCTGGGGCTATGGGCGGAAGTCACCATGCGAGACGTGCCTTCCTCCGTCGTTTTTGAAGAAACCAGACAAAAACCTGCCTTCTCGTCAAAACACCGAGGCTAGGACTGGGCCAAAAGAGTCGGAAAAGGTTTGAAGGTCAATTTCCATCTGTTTTCTGCCTGCTCGGTTCGTCCGAAAACGTGGATTAAAAAGGAAAACCAGACGCTGTCGGACCACGATTGCTTGTGTGGGAAGCACTTTGAGTTGAATTCACGGATACTTGTGGCCGTCAGATTTATTTGTTTTGTTCCAACATGAACGCGGGAAAACCGCAAAGTTGTACAGACCACCTGCGGACTACGTTCAGTGCGTCTTCAATTCGAACGGCCGCCAGATCGCTCGAACTGTCACCTGCTCTCAAACGTTTCAGCTTGCTGTCGTCTGCTCGTTCAAACGATGCAGCGGCCCGTAGACCAAACGTCCGGTCATTGCGATAAGAAGTTCAGGACTCAAAAGTCTTTTAAAGGGGCACTCAAGTGGTTTTTGAGTTCGTGTTTTGATGATGACAACTGAATCTAGACGCCCTAAGTATCCCTAAAAACCAAAAAATATAGTCCTAGGGTGATTATTTCTTTAATAAAAATGTAATTGAAGGCCGCCGAACCTCGGATCCATCCGAAAACGAAACCACTCTCATTGGTCACCGCTCGCATATCAAAACGATCTCGGGCCAACAACGGCGGGGACGAAACTTCTTTGGAGGGCTCCAATGAACGTGGGATGGCATTTCAGTTCGTCCTATCGGCGCTAACACGTGTAGGCGTTACTGGTACAAAAACAAACGCAGAGCGCATAGCGGCAGTGTAGAATATGACAGCCGTGCCGACACAGTGGCAGACATGATCGGGAGACCAAATTTCTCGCGTCGTACGGCACGGGTCCATCGTTGTCGCTGTTCCACAAAACATCGGCAAGGTGAAAAACTGTGAAACTTTGTCCCCACGAGATACGACGCATAACTATTGAAGCACTTAATGACGCAGCACAGGCAGCACTTCAAGCTGTGAACCCAGCGCAACCACACCGCTCTGACTTCAATGCGTACCAACGTACGCGGCGTGGTTTCGGTTTCGTTTTCTCTGGGGTTCTCACTGCCTAACTTCGGTAGCGGTCACACGGCGGCGCGCCAGTCGCGTCGCACGGAGTGTTAAAGGGTTGTCTGGTCAAATTTTGTATTCGAGAAAACAATTGAATATCATTGTTCTTGCCCCGAGACGTATCGTGCGTGCAATATCTGAATTTTATATGCCTTCCTGCATGAGTAATTGAATTTATACTGCTCCAATCGCACTCTAGCGTAAACGCTTTTTTCGGTGGCAACATGGGAGCTCTGACGTCACACAACACAAAGCGAGCATTTCTGTCATTTCTGTCTCGTCATTTACCTGCGAGTGAACGCCTGTGCCAACGATATTAAACTAAGTCTATCCACTACTCGCCCAAATCCGGTCAATCAATTTGTTTATGCAGCGAAACCGAAACCAACAGCTAGACCACCTGGAAACGATACCAGAAGTTGTATTTAGCACGCGTGCAGCCAAATTCTGTTTGACCCGTATGTGCAAATGGAGCGTGGCTACGATTCACCAAGCTCGTCCAAGTCAAGTGACGACATGCGTTTGAACGATTCGCCGGTTGCCTTCGACCCGCGGTAATCGCCTCTGAGGGAAAGACCCGCAGCCTCATCACCGATCCAGTGGATCCGCCGATATGTGCACCCAGATACCGCTTCGTGTACCGAGGTGCCGCTTCAGAGGCGAAATCTGCATCCTTTGCTTTGCAAGCGCTCATAATTCGATCGGTGGCCGTCGCAGTTGTGTTTGCGCGAAACGGCATACGTTTGCTCGAAGCTTATGGCTGTTTTCGAGTAATATCCTGCCAAAAGGCGTGACTTTTTTTTTGCTCACGCTTGGGAACTGCGATAAAATAAGTGTATTTCAGTAGTGTACAGCGTAGGACAGTTGTTCTCAACCATCGATGTTTCGCGGACCCCTTGTGGTTCGGCGGAAATGATGAAGGACCCCGTTCATGGTGAGAGGAGAGGAAAGGTATAGGCTAAATATAATAATGATTTAATGAATGGATATAACTTAGGGCTGGGGTGAAGTAGACCTCTCTTATTGACGTTCACACGATCTCGCCCGAAAACTGAAACATTTCTTTTCGACCTGAAAAAAAAATATACAACTTTTATTGCCGGGCTTGACTGATGAGGAAGGGTTTCGCGGACCCCTAGAAGGCCTTCGCGGACCCCCATTTCAGAACCACTGACCTAGGAGACTATAGACCGACACGCTGTTTACAAACAAGCCCGCGTTTGCCCACACCAGGTGTGGGCACTGCGCGTGCGCGCAAACCAAATTTGGGAGGAGTGAAGCATCTGCGCATGAGCAGTGCCGTCGAAAGCGCCACCGCAGCTGCGTGACGTCAGGGCCGCGTGTTGGTCTATATAATTCGAAACAAAATACAAGACATCCATCGACCAACGCTTGTTGTCCCGACCATCCGACAAACCTTTGCGTTTTGTGACGTCACGCAGCAGCTACGGATGTCAGCCATCGACACTGGCGAAATTCGGGGTGCAGTTTCGTACATACGCTCATGAAACGTTTAGTTAATAACGGGAGATCATATATCAAAATTAAAACGTTGTTTCTCTCCATGAAGGCCTCCTCGACGTAACGAGCGCAAAAACTAAAGTACTTCCGGTTTCGACCGGCTTGAAAAAGGACCCTACTTTGGGGAGTTGTGTCTTCTTTCTCAATAAAATATTGCAACATGTTTTAATAGAAATGAATGCCCGAAATAAAGTATCACAGAATACCCAAATTTAAAAAAAAAAAAAAATCGAAGATGTTTTTTTTATTTGCATCGGAATTTTTCGTTGTTTGGCTTTTTCACCATGTTTGCCTAAATATATCACGACTATCGTATCACTCAGATACCTAATATATACCTTAAATGATATCCATAAATAAGTGGAATAATACCTCGCAAGTATATGATAATGATTACATTATTTCATGAGATACAGGCCTCCAAGTTTTGCCATTTGTCGTTCGAGCAGGCATGTTTGGCAATTTTTAGAAAAAGAAATATAACTAAAATAAATATAATTACTATATATTACAAGCAATCTGCAATCTGTACCCATAGTTTGTTTCTAGAAAGTACCAGAATGTTTTAAATTTTATTGGTTTAGTTATTCACTTTCAAACGTGCCGTGCGCGTTAATGCAACTGTCCACCTCTTTGTGCCTTACGATTTTTCGTGTCCCCAATTTTTTTTTTTTTCTGATCAAAACTATGTTTGGATTTTGCCAGTTCTGGTTTATGCCAGACTCTAGACAATGGCATATAAAAACATCAGATGATTTAAAAATGTCGACCAGCCACCCTTTGGTCGATCATATCTGAAATCACCCTATAGGAACTTTTTAAAGCCTTCGCTGAAGAGAAGCGGTGGTCCTCCGACAATTCTGGACCTCTGATTTCAAAACGCCCTACATTTAACAGCGTCCAATGAGGCAATCACTTAGATTTCATATACCCCATATCAGGACCAAATATAGTGAACGAATACGGAAGAAGAAAAAAGATGGTGCAATGGAAAATTTGGCAGCCTTGAAATGACGCCGGCTACTCCAAAACGAACACGGATGTATTATGTACCACAGGTTTTTAACAACCTGCCTGATAATACATTAAATTTAACGTCAAAACAACAGCTAAAAAAATCGCTTAGAAACCTCGAACAATGAAATGTACATTCCTGTTGCCTTTAGCTGTTTTTTTACAAGACATGTCTAATAATAATAATTGGGGTTGTGGGGATATTTATACAGCGTGTAGTTGGTCTGCCATTTAAGTTGCGACGAGTCACACGCTGTAGATGAGCAATTTAGCCAGTGCAGTACAACCGCTAGCCTGGGGTCTTTAACGTGCCACATGTCTGCATTCCGGAGATATCGGTGTTATTGCTGTTAATTTATCTATGCATGGACCAGTTATATTGGTACTTTATAGATTATACAGATCTGTTAGAGTGTACTTTTTTTTTCTTTGTTGTTTACTTTGTTAACCGCCGAGCCAGGCACACAAGCCCCCGAGGGTTCACCCGGCTCGTTAATGCCTTTTTGTCAACTTGCGTGATAAATAAAAACTATGTTCAATGTTCAACACAAGGAAGGAAACACAGACAAGGGGAAGGACAATGACTTCCAACTTGCAATAATATGTATTGACACGAAGTTCGCATATATAGCATAGGCAAAGGAGGGAGGGGGGGAAAGATACGTCCCCTTCTACCTTCATATTGGTTACTGTTACCAACACGGTCGTTTTGTACTTACTTTCATTCCCACTGGTATAATAACCTGGGAAACCAGTGGCTGGTATTCTGGGACTTTAAGCATGCAAAATAAAATCTCAGCACAACGGGTTTTTCTGTTTTATTTATTTATTTCCAGTGGCTTTCGTTGCCGTCTTTCCGTCAAATGCGTCGTCTGCAATCCGTGAGCCGTTCCCCTGTCCTGTCCCACTTCGGGGAGACCGTGTCCGGAGTGGACACAATTCGTGCGTTCGGCGCCACCAAACCGTTCATGGACACCCTCGAGAGACGGCTCGATGACTACATCAACTGCAACGTCCACTTCGCGGCTCTTGAAGGGTGCGTCCTTTCCACTTTCGTTTCTGATGCGGAAGAACCGATCGAGGAGTACTGGGTAGGCGCCGCCACTATATAATAATTTGAGGATTGTACCTATAACCATGTAACCAACGATCTTGAATTCGAGCCCGTATCACTTTGCGCAAACATGTTCCGTGGACTTTTCACTGACACACGTTTCATCGACACTATAACATATTGTGAGCGATGTTTTGTCAGCATATTGTTTAAACGAGTGGATTGGATTGGATTACTGTCTACATTTCCAATCTGCTCCATTAGACCCAAAACAAATTCACGAGCTTTAATCCTAGGTCTGTTTGACAGCACGTGCACGACCATGTGGTACACTGCAGGCAGTCACCCCTCGCTCCGCTCCATTTGGGGAAAAGTTTTATGATCCCAGGTTTGGCAAGCTAGGCTACCATCGATCTGGCAGCTAGGGCAATGTACACGGAAATACACCTTCGACGAAACTTCGCAAGATGTGCCGATGAACATCGCAGGGTTTACGAAACAATCTGTCGATGAAGCCTCATTCAACGAATTGCTTGCCACCGCTTTAATTCCAGTGTTTCTCTAACGATGTCGCTTCTGTTAATATCCGGAAAGGTGCCGAACGGTCGCTGTTCAAGTCCTGACACTGTTACTGTCCATTGGTTCAACTCTGGTTGCGGTACTCGGAAGGGATACTCTTGACGTCGGGATGGTCGGCATGACGCTCACCTATACGTTGCAGGTAGTTTTGTATAGTGTGTTTTAATTCTCTGTCTGCTCTGTGAGTGCCATATAAATCCCTCCAATAACAGTCTTCTGCATGCTGCTATCTTTGTCTATTGGGCTGTAAAACCTGCACTGAGCATGCCTGGTCTTTTTTTTTTTTTACAGCGATAGTTGTTGAGCTTTTCCCTTGTCGCTATATTGACCCGACACCGTGCGCCACAATGTAACAAGACGTCATGATTTCATGTGACGTTGCAGTGTCTCGTGACGTTACGATGCCTCCCGACATGTACGTCACGTGCCATCATGATGTCACGCCATGTCACGTAATGACACCATGTCACATGACGTCACTGTGTAACGTGATGTCATGATGTTCCGTGATAGAAATGAGTGCATCTCTCCAAACAGGCAATGGCGATCGTTTGCCCGCGTTAGGTGCAAAATACACAAGGATGCATTAGGGTTCAATAAGGTGCCGCAGCTGTTGCTGTGCGACTGTACCGCGGATTCCCACAAAACGCGTCATTTTTTTTTTTTTTTCTTTCAGATGTCGGGAGGTATGTCGATGCTACTGACGATGGCTGTCATGCTGGAAGTGAGCCTAGTGGCGGTGGAGAGAGTCATGGAGTATTTCAACCTACCACAAGAGGTATTGAGTTAATGGCATGTTTCCATATCACTCACTTTGACAGCAGTGTAGGCTACATGGAACCCTGCCTGTTGCCGTTTTGCGACTTACCCTGCAATGCTCCCTCTCTCTCTTTAAAAAAATTTAAAACGACCATACAAGGTGGACATTTTGAAAACACCGTGCATCACAATGTAACATAAATATGTTATCCGTTAGGGATAACATATTTAAGTTCCTTATTTCGAGTAACGGGCAACATAGTCGCGTTACTCGTTACAGGCTTGAACTCCGCTTCAATTCCTTTTTTGTTTCTAGGCGCCAAGTCAAGTGTATTTTTGCACTCGTTTCAAATATCTTTAAAATTTGAAAGTAGTATGTGGAAAAAAGTATCACAGCAGACTATGATTCAAGCAAAGGGGCAACTTGTCAACAGCAATGATCTGTACTTCCGTATGTTGTGAAACTCAGCTGGTCTTAATTTGTGCAAATGCGGAAGGCCGGTTCTTCTGTCCAGTTCTGAGCAAACATGTCGTAAGTCAGGTGGAACTTAGAACCATAAATAAGACAAAGTAATTCTGTTAAGTTTCTGCATGGACATGTTTCTTCAAATATGATGCTGTAACATCAAGACAGAATGTTTAATGTTTTAACATTATTAAAAATAACGCAAAGGTAACACGCACTACTTTTTATCGTTGACGCCTTACTTTTATTTGGGGTAACGTAGACCGGTAACGCATTCCTTTTATTAGGGAGTTTTCGCAGACCACGTTTCCCCCTCCGCTAAGCCCTCTGCAACGAAGAAACCGCTACAGGGTGATTCCACGTCAGTTCATGCAATGATGGTCCGGGTCATAATTTAGATATTTTTGTTAAAATTATATATAAAAGCCATGTTCTTGGGAGGAACATTCAGCTATATATGAACGCCGTACCAATTTTTTTCGCTGAGATATAAAATAGAGAAGCTTGAGGCGTGGAAATTGAGAAGATTTCACAATGCTACTTTGCACAGTCGTCATTTCCTTATCGAACCTTTCACGGCACCATAACTTTTTTAATAGGTTTTACTAAGGTTATACAACACATACATAAAAAATTAAGAATATTCATAAAATATTTCAATGCAAACAAAAATATCAAACATGGCACAAAAACGCGTTTTAGAGACATATTCACAATTTTTTTGCATATAAACCATCTTTCATAATACTTCACAAAACATATCAAAATGCGCGTATTTAAATATTCTTTACGAATATATAAAGATAATATGCCCACCCTTAAACATATTTTTGTTATCAACTCGGAAATTCGGCTGATTTCTCAAAATGTGGCAAGATTGGGCGTCGATATTTAAAAACCTCCATCTTTTATTTTCTTTAAACTCCCCTTGGCACTTTGCAGTGACTTGAACTAACCTGTGATGGCAAAAGATTGAGTAACGTATGACCTCCAAGCGGGAAAAGCTACGACAAACCTTCACTCGGAGCGAGCCGACGTCTTCGTCATAGCGGCTTTGCCGCACAGCACCAAACGTTTGGGCGTTAGTTATGGCATGCATTTTATATTATTAAAATTCTTTTTTTATACGCGGTGAGTATTAGTGACGTGAAAAGGAACTTTGAGCTGGAATACCATTAATTAGCTTACAATTCACAGGAATAAAACAGCCCCACTCTGCAAATTCGCTACCTATGCATCATGCATAAGCTTAAAACTCTCACTTGCGCGAATGGCGATGTATACATCTGGCCTCTCGGCATATGATGACTTTCACAGATGAGTTTCCTGGATTCCTTTGACAGGTTTTACGGTTGTCCACTTTGCTTGCTTCACCGCACGAAACTCTCGAACTCGAAGACAGTTGTGAGCACTGCGCAGAGTAATTTGACGCGTTTTGCGAAGTGCTGAAGGCATGTAGTTCCCACCAGGAACGCAAGCGATTGTACGTGCTTCTGCCACCAATCATCCTGAAGAAAACAATATTGCGTCTGGTGTCGGGTGCGACTGCCTACATGATTGATCAAACATGAAAACTGAAGCGCAAAGGTGGTGTTTGGGCAACCCCTGATCCCTACATGGGGGAAAAAGGCGAAAGCCGAAGACGTGGGGGTTGCAATTGAGTACTACACACGCGACGACCTCGCATGCTCCGTTCAAAGCCCCGACAAAAAGGACGTCGTCAAAGCCATGATCAACGACATGTTCAAAGTCGTAAAAAGGTTTATGACCCGCTCTATTAAGGAAACTTACCAGCTGTTTAGGAAGGACCATCCCCAACCCTAACTAGGCATCTCCAAATTTTATTCCCTACGACCAAAATGGGTAAAAAAAAAAGTCCCGAGCACGAGGTGTGCGCATGCATATATTGCGTCAATTTTCAGTTGCTTTTAACGGCAATAACAAATGCCCGAAAGAAGACATTTACTGAAGACGACCTCAAGCGCATCTACTTCTTCTGCGCTCCACAGAACGATTGCTTTCTGCGCCGTTGCGAAAAGTGCCCAAAAACGCAGAGCATCTCGCTGCAGTCGCTTCATCTCGACGAAGACGAAGAGATCTGTTTCGCGTTATGGGACGCTGGCGAACTCGTCAAAAAGGTTATGGACACTTCTGCCTTCCTGCGGCATTAGAAGAGCGAAAAGTATATGAGGCATTCTTACATCCTTGACCTTGAACGAAGCCTGATACATGACACAAGAACCGCCTTACCACCCAAGGCAGTGATGTTCCACTTCGATTTTGCGGAAAAATGGATAGTACTCTTTCCAACCTAAGTGCAGAGTTTTCATTGAAAAAAAACTCAAGTGTCTCTCTCCACAAGTGTGGTTACGTCCACGCAAGGCACGCAAAGCTTTGCCGTTGTCACCGATGGTACACGACACATGACACAGCTCACGCTCTTCTAGCCACATAGGCCATAAAAGAGTATGTTAATGTTCATTTCCCAGTCCTTTTTGAAATAATTTTTGTATCAGACGGAGCGGCGGCGCATTTCAAGAATCGCTTCCAATTCCACGAATTGTCTCGGAAGCCGCACTCTTCGGCAAGACGGATCTTTTCAGCCACTGGACACGGAGAAAGCGCTTGTGATGAAGTAGGTGGAAGAACCAACGCTCACCAAGTTGAGACCTTCGCTCAACTCAACGATTGCCACCGCTAAAGACTTTGTGGAAGTGCTACGTAAAAAAGTAACAAATGTCTGCATGTTCCACCTGTCTGTGGAACGGGTTCGAGAGTTTCGTGCGGTAAAGCAAGCAGAGTGGACCACCATAAAACCTGTGAGAGGAATCCAGGCTTCTCATCTGTGGAAGTCATCATATGCCGAGAGGCCGGATGTATACATGGCCACTCGAATAACTGAGAGTTTTAAGCTTATCTATGCATAGTTAGCGAATTCGCACAGTGGGGCCGTTTTGTTCCTGTGAATTGTAAGCTAATTAATGGTATTCCAGCTGAAAGTCCATTTTCGCGTCACTAATACTCAGCCCTTATGAAAAAAAGAATTTTAATAATATAAAATACATGCCATAACTAACGCTCAAAACGTTTGGTGCTGTGCGGCAAAGCCGCTATGACGAAGACGTCGGCTCGCTCCAAGTGAAGGTTTGTCGTAGCTTTTCCCGCTTGGAGGTCATATGTTACTCAATCTTTTGCCATCACAGGTTAGTTCAAGTCACTGCAAAGTGCCAAGGGGAGTTTAAAGAAAATAAAAGATGGAGTTTTTTTAAATATCGACGCCCAATCTTGCCACATTTTGAGAAATCAGCCGAATTTCCGAGTTGATAACAAAAATATGTTTAAGGGTGGGCATATTATCTTTATATATTCGTAAAGAATATTTAAATACGCGCATTTTGATATGTTTTGTGAAGTATTATGAAAGATGGTTTATTTGCAAAAAAATTGTGAATATGTCTCTAAAACGCGTTTTTGTGCCATGTTTGATATTTTTGTTTGCATTGAAATATTTTATGGATATTTTTAATTTTTTATGTATCTGTTGTATAACCTTAGTAAAACCTATTAAAAAAGTTATGGTGCCGTGAAAGGTTCGATAAGGAAATGACGACTGTGCAAAGTAGCATTGTGAAATCTTCTCAATTTCCACGCCTCAAGCTTCTCTATGTTATATCTCAGCGAAAAAAATTGGTACGGCGTTCATATATAGCTGAATGTTCCTCCCAAAAACATGGCTTTCATATATATTTTTAACAAAAATATCTAAAATATGACCCGGACCATCATTGCATGAATTGACGTGGAATCACCCTACAGTGTTCGCGTGCCGATGGCCTTGACTAAACTTCCGGGTATCTGAGTGGGTTGCGGAGAGCTTTGCGGGACGGCGAAAACGATCTACAAAAACTCCCTATTAGGGAGCTTTCGCAGACCGCGTTTCCCCCTCCGCTAAGCCCTCTGCAACGAAGAGCCGCTACTGCGCCTACGCACCGATGGCCTTGACTCTAGAGTTCCGGGTATAGTAGCTGGTTGCGAAGATTGTTGCGCGACGGCGAAATCAATCAACAAAAACTGCTTATTAGGGAGCTTTCACAGACCGCGTATCCTCCTTCGCTAAGCCCTCTGCAACAAAGAAGCCCCGCGTGCCGATGGCCTTGACTAATCTTCCGGATATCTAAGCGGGTTGCAAGAGCGTTGCGGGACGGCGAAAACGATCTACAAAAACTCCCTATTAGGGAGTTTTCGCAGGCCGCGTTTCCCCCTCCGCTAAGCCCTCTGCAACGAAGAGCCGCTACTGCGCCTGCGCACCGATGGCCTTGACTGTACAGTTCCGGGTATCGTAGCGGGTTGCGAAGATTGTTGCGCGACGGCGAAATCAATCAACAAAAACTGCTTATTAGGGAGCTTTCACAGACCGCGTATCCTCCTTCGCTAAGCCCTCTGCAACAAAGAAGCCCCGCGTGCCGATGGCCTTGACTAATCTTCCGGATATCTAAGCGGGTTGCGAGAGCGTTGCGGGACGGCGAAAACGATCTACAAAAAATCCCTATTAGGGAGTTTTCGCAGGCCGCGTTTCCCCCTCCGCTAAGCCCTCTGCAACGAAGAGCCGCTACTGCGCCTGCGCACCGATGGCCTTGACTGTACAGTTCCGGGTATCGTAGCGGGTTGCGAAGATCGTTGCGCGACGGCGAAATCAATCAACAAAAACTGCTTATTAGGGAGCTTTCACAGACCGCGTATCCTCCTTCGCTAAGCCCTCTGCAACAAAGAAGCCCCGCGTGCCGATGGCCTTGACTAATCTTCCGGATATCTAAGCGGATTGCGAGAGCGTTGCGGGACGGCGAAAACGATCTACAAAAACTCCCTATTAGGGAGTTTTCGCAGACCGCGTTTCCCCCTCCGCTAAGCCCTCTGCAACGAAGAGCCGCTACTGCGCCTGCGCACCAATGGCCTTGACTGTAGAGTTCCAGGTATCGTAGCGGGTTGCGAAGATTGTTGCGCGACGGCGAAATCAATCAACAAAAACTGCTTATTAGGGAGCTTTCACAGACCGCGTATCCTCCTTCGCTAAGCCCTCTGCAACAAAGAAGCCCCGCGTGCCGATGGCCTTGACTAATCTTCCGGACATCTAAGCGGGTTGCGGAGAGCGTTGCGGGACAGCGCAAACAATCTACGAAAACTCCCTATTAGGGAGTTTATATATATATCACTCTTTCCCCGGGATCACGTGCTGTTGTTTTTTTGTATGGACACTGCTGGCAGGGCCGGCACTATGCTACGTCCCACTAGTTGTGTGCAGTGCAGGCGAAGGCAACGCCAGGCAAAGAGAGAAAGGGAGAACACTAGGAAGGTGGGAAAGAAGAAGAGGGAGGAGGGCGAGGGAAGAAAGGGAGAGCACTAGGAATGTTAGAGAGGAGAGGAGCTTTTCTCTCCTCCTCCCCAACCTCCCTAGTGCTTGCCCTTTCTCCCCTCGCCTGGCGTTGCCTTCGCTTGGCGCCATGAAAAGGGGGGCGCCGCCATGCCCCTTTTTTGAATTTTTTAACTTAGATTTATTTGAATACGGCGCCTGACATTCCCTTTTGAAATGCGGTTCGTGTCTGATAAATTGCTCGTGTTGAGCCAGTACTCGCATGTTACTAATAACGTTATGTCAGACATAGTAGATAGGAGTGTATAAAAAAAAAAAGATTAAAAGAGGGGGCACCATGCCCGAGTTTGACCATGGCACTTGATGGTGTAAGGCCATCCCTGGCCGCCGGTATTCAGCCAAAAGAGGCGCTAAACACCACCACCGTAGCACCCCAGAATTTAAAAAACTTAACATGCACGTTTTCGAACTTCAACGCAGGCACCATGGAACAGTGGTGAGGCTCAGCCCCCTATTGGATGGCCATCTCGGGGCGATATAACGTTCACAAACTATAGTGCTGCCTATCGGGACGACATGAAACCTGTGATTCAAGGAGTCAGCTTGAAGATCTCCGACTGCCAAAAAGTGTGTAGTGTTTCTTTTTTTAGAACTTTCACGCACGGATTCAAAACTGCCACGAATCAAATGCAGTGTGCTTGTACATTTTTGTCGCATTTGCAATATGCAATAGAACGTTTGAACTCCAGCTTTTTGATAACTCTACCAGTCTCTGTAGAAAATAGAAGCAGAAAAAAAAATAATTGAAGCATGGCACTTCAAAATTTCATCTGATAATCGGGTAATCAAACAATTTCTTATGGTGGAATAACTCGAAATGCAATTGCATTAAACAAGCTATATAATTATCTTCGCAGAATTGTATTTAAAGCCCCCTGCTTTATAATACAAGTCACAGGAATGTGCTTAACATAAAAAATATAGCTGCAAATATCAACAATTACCCGTAAAAAAAATATTGATTTGGGTCAGCTGGGTACTACAAGTGACCACATCCACTAGTCCAATCAGAGATTGACTCTGTTTCAGATTGGTATTCTAGGAAGGACTGGCACTGGAAAGTCTAGCCTTGCGCTGGCACTGTTCAGACTAATCGAATCGAAGTCTGGGTCCATCACTGTTGACGGCATAGACATCGCACAGATCGGCTTGCACGACCTTCGTTCAAAGATGTCAATTATTCCCCAGGTAAGAGAAACAAGTGGGGCAGGATCCGCGCGACATTTATTTGGCTTGCCCGTTTCATGTGCACCTGGCAGATTAATGCACATTAAAATACTTGGACGGCCAAATAGACATTGGTCCAGTTAAGAACATTTCCTTTTTGTGAACCCTTCGAGCGACGAATGCTCTTCCCGCTGCATCATGGTTTCAAGTTTGGCCGACACAAAATAGCCTAAAATAAATTTTAAACGGGAAGCGTAGGAGTCACAATGTTGATGAAAACGCAATGCCTTGATAGACTACCCCTCACAATTCCAGAAAGCCAGTTTAATGAGAATGGGAGGACAATTATTAAATGAAATTAGGAATGTTTAGTTTTTTCTTCTGCCTCATACGAATACAAGAAGTGGCATTTGTCCTAAATTTTTACAGAAGGCTATTCTAGACATTGGCGTTAATTTAATCGGGCTTTCGAAACAATGTAAAAGAGCGGCGGAGTGTAATTTGTTTCCTCTTTCCAACGCCAGTAGCGACGAGACACAACCATCCGGCACACTGAAATAGTGTGCCAACACAACCTCCCGCCAATACCTTTTCCTTCTTCGTAACCTTCTCAAGTGTAGCAGCTCGTTGTGCGATTTATCCAAAACGCAGGACCCGGTGGTATTTGCTGGAACTCTGCGCTGGAATCTAGACCCTTTTGGCAAACACACGGATGCCGCCTTGTGGGAGGCCTTGGAACGGGCACACCTCAAGCGCTTCCTCGCCGGCCAAAATCTTAACCTCGACTGCAACATGACCGAGAGCGGGAACAACTTAAGGTGACACTGCAAACTTCCATTTGCAGCAGACGGGCGTTCTTCGAAAACAATGTAAATTGTAAGGGTTCTCACTTATCGTAAGGGTTCTCACTTATCTGTCCAGTCTCGCACACCGCCAACCTGCACTCTTTTAAGTGCAAATAAAATTATTATTATTATTATGTGACCGCTTTCTGCAAGAGGGGTGCACCCCGACGATTATGTCAAGTGCCCTGCTCAAATGCTCCGGTACTGGGCCGTAGCTTTCACTGTTTGCCAAGTTACGCTGCGACAGAGCATTGGCGACCTACGCGACCAAAAGCGTCGCTGTGGTCGGCTCGATTTCCTTTAAGAGGAATTCGTACTGCTTTCGTCGACAAAATGTCAATTGTGACGGTGCCGGTTTAAGAAGGCGATGAATCCGAGCTTCCAGCATGTTTTCACGCATTGCAGAACTTATCATTCGCTAGGGACAATAATTAGCCCCGATCATAGCTCAAAACGTCACGGATGGGAGGCTTAAAGGGGTGGTACCGAAGCAACTCGGCGCCGATAGTTATTGTACTCCTCGATATTTCTAAAAGTTAGATCTCAAATGTCCAGAAAGCTTGGGTGAAAATTTTGCGTCTTGCAGTGCCGGACAAAAGCAGCTGGTGTGCCTCGCCCGAGCTCTTCTAAGGCGGAGCAAAATACTGGTCTTGGACGAGGCGGCGTCGTCCGTCGATTTGGAAACGGGCCACCTCGTAGCGGAGACCATTCGCACCGAGTTCCGAGGGACCACCGTCGTCACCATCGCGCACACGGTTCACACGGTCCTGGACTGCGACAGGCGAGTCAAACCTCCTTCACCCAGTGATCATTCCCCGTGCGGGGACACGAAAAAAAACCTTACAAGAACCCCTTTTTGGGGTCACCGATGAGCTGGAAGCAGTCTTCCAGGCGTGGATGCGACGCATTAAAAAAAAGATGGTTCCCACGGGGCGTACAGAAATGCTGCCGCACCGATGGAGCGGGTGCATTCAGCTCAAAAGAGAGTATGTCAGAAAGGTGGACGCATCTACCGACCTCCAAGTGACCGGTAGCTGCATCAAAATAATGGTGTTGCGCGAATCCTACTCGAGTAGTAGTAGTTTTGAATAATGGATAACTCAATATTTGTTTCGAGGTGAACTGCGATACTCATAATTTTTGAAGTGCTGATTGTGGCGGGTTTGCTCCGTCGAGGCCGCTTCACACAGAGTTATTACCCGGTGTGGAGAAGCACTAGCCGCTGTGCTCGTGGGATCCACGGATACTACTTCTCCACAGTACACACTTGCTTGGTGCGAAGTGCACTCAACAGGAGTAACCCACCGCAATTATGGCAGAGTATGTGTCAGGTGGCGGCGATGTCTTGACAGTCAACATTCATCATTAGTGTTTGTTTTAAAGGGACACTGACAGGGTATTTATGCCCGCCGAGGTTTTTAGTTGTACGTGACATATGAGAGCTGAACTACCCAGAACAGAATTTGCGGCTCGAAATTCGGTTTCTTTCCGCCCGAAAACCGCCGATCAAGAACTGGCCGGTTCGAGTCTCGCTCACTCTCTTTTCCGCGGTCACGGGCCGTTTTCTAAGGTATCGATCCGACCACCAAATTTAATCAAAGTCGTGGGTCACTGAAGGCACACACTCAATGTTAAAAATAGAAAAAAATATGAAACCCATTTTTTGTGGCTTCTAAAAAGCTGCAGATACGTTGATTGAAAAAAAAAGTTCCACAGACAACCGGAAGCATTCTGTGCGCTCGTCGTTTCGCGTATCGTGGGACTCGCGGGGACGGCGATGGCAGCGGACGACCGGCTTGGGACCTTTATTTCAGAACTGTTGTTCGCGGTACCGGCGAATTCTGTCTACCTTTAAAAGAGAAATTTGGGACTGATCAAAAGAATTGGTATTCATCCCGTACGACACGCCCGACCACCAAGCCGATTTGCACGAAGACGTCGCCGAGCCGTCGCTCCCTTCTCGTGGCTGAAGACATCGCTCGCGCAAACGTCGAGCACGACGTGTCTACTTCGAGTTGAATATGCACGCGTACGATTTCTTTACTGGGTGTGAATGTCGCCAATGCGTGGTGCTTCCCGACTTCGGCCCGGGAGTGCTTTTGCTAGAGGAAAATCGGCAGCAAACTTTCGAACTTGCAGTTTACCGATCATTACTAAGGAGAGAGATCTTCCAGCAGCGAGGTGCCCCAGTAGCTGGAGAAAGAAGAAGACGTCGTTTCGAACGGCCAGGTTTTCCATGTTCTCCGGGGAAAATTTATCGGCCGCTGGCCGAGGAAACGTTATGACGTCTGATTGTTAAGAGTCTACTAGCGCCACCAGAAACTATAGTGGCAGAGAACAATGCCAATAAAAAGAAAAAGAGGTAGTGTGATGCAGACCGTCAGCGGGTTCAGACGTGTGTTCTTTTCTTCCCACACTCGTAACAAAATGGCGACGAGGTAAAAAGAGGACTATGCCGACGTTCGGCAGGATCGAACCGTTCGAGGGGGGAGGCGACGAATGGCTTGCATACGTGGAACGAGTTCACGAATTCTTCCTTGCCAACGATGTTCCTGCGGCAAAGACGAGATCCATTTTCCTGAGCTGCTGCGGCCCGAGGACTTACTCTTTGCTTCGGAGCCTGGTGAAGCCGCAGGCACCCCAAGACAAGACCCTCAGCGAGATCCTGGCCATTCTCGGCCAGCATTATGCCCCTACGCCGTCCTCCGTTGTTCAGCGCTTCCGCTTTAATTCAAGGGTTCGTTCCGAAACGGAATCTGTCAGTGACTTCATTGCAGCGCTGAAGAGCTTATCGGAGCACTGTGACTACGGTGCTGAGCTGGAGAAAATGCTACGAGACAGAATAGTTTGCGGCATAAATGACGCCGTGATTCAGACTCGACTTCTTGAAATTCCGGACCTCACCTTCGAAGTTGCTGTTCAAACTGCACGCGCCATGGAATCTGCAAAGAAAGATGCTGGTGAGCTCTGTCAAGCTCAAGCTAGTACAAGCGTTCTTTCCACACACAAGATAATGCACGCGGCGAAAGACACATCGTGTTATCGCTGCGGAGACAAACGCCACCTGGCATCTCGGTGCCGACACATTCATTCTACGTGTCACTACTGCCAGAAGCGAGGGCACCTTTCTGTTGTGTGCAACTCGAAGAAGAGTGGGAACCCGCCCAATTCAAAAGTTTCCGGAAGAGCTCATCGGGATCAGTCAAGATCAACTCTATCTGCTCGGGTGAACACACTGCACGGCGACATGTCCCCGCAAGATCTTTGTCAGGTTGTGGAAGCTGACGCCTACGACATGTGGCACCTGGGTACAGCATCAACAGTACCACCTTTTCTGGTCACCTTTGAACTCTTCGGTAAACCAATTTCCATGGAATTAGACACCGGTGCGAGCGTTTCGGTGATGCCTGCAGAAAAGTTTCAAGCAGAATTTCCCAATGTCAAGTTAGATTCTTCGAGCGTCCTTCTGCTAGGATTTTCTGGAGACCTCGAGCAAGTGAAAGGCAAGGCAAATGTCAACGTCAGTAACCGAGGTCACAGTGAGGTTCTTCCGCTGTTTATCACCTCTGGTACTTCACCTACGTTGCTTGGTCGCAACTGGTTTCAAGCTTTGGGCCTGAGCCTCAAAGGACTTGAGCCAGTGAACAACCTGTCTAATGTTGCGGACCTCATAGGTCAGTATTCTACAGTTTTCGAAGAAGGTTTGGGCACATTCAAGGGGATTTATGCGAAGATCCTTGTGACTCCAGGGGCTCCGCCAAAATTCTGCAAGCCCCGTCCACTGCCATTTACATTACGTGATAGAGTCACCCAAGAGCTCCAAAGACTACAACGTGAGGGTGTCATTGAGCCAGTGAAGACATCTGACTGGGCAGCTCCCATCGTCCCTGTTCAAAAGAAGGATGGTCGAGTGCGGATATGTGGGGACTTCAAAGTAACAGTCAATCCTGTGTCTCTTCTAGAGACCTATCCAGTTCCACGCGTCGAGGAACTGTGGGCTGTTTTGTCAGGGGGAACCAAGTTCGCAAAGCTGGATTTGCGAGATGCGTACCAGCAAGTGCCCCTGGTTGAAGAGTGTCGCAAGTTTGTGACCATCAACACCCACATGAGTCTCTTCCAGTATACAAGACTTCCGTTTGGAGTTTCTTCTGCTCCAGCAATATTCCAACGAGAAATGGAAAATCTTTTCCGTGGCTTACCAAGCGTTGCGGTCTACTTCGACGACATCATTGTCACGGGAGTTGACGATCAAGACCACGTGAAGAACCTCAAGTCTGTTCTTCAGAGGCTTCAAGATGTTGGCCTTAAGGTGAAGTTGGAGAAGTGCCAATTTTTCAAGCCTGAAGTAGAGTACCTTGGTCATATCATTAGCAAGCAGGGACTCACTCCAAGCCCAAACAAAGTGGACGCGATCGTCAACGCTCCTGCTCTTTGCAACGTGAAAGAGCTTCAAAGCTACCTTGGACTGCTCAACTTTTACCGACGTTTCTTGCCAAACATTTCGTCTACGTTACGGCCATTGCACCTTCTACTGATGGCAGGCAAGAAATGGTCGTGGGGAAAGGAAGAAAAGCAAGCTTTCGCTGAAAGCAAGAAACTCATGACAACTGCACCCATTCTTGTGCATTACGATTCAAAAAAGGACCTCCTACTCACCTGCGATGCTTCGCCTTATGGCGTTGGTGCTGTGCTGGCACACATCGGGAGTGATGGAGTGGAGCGACCAGTAGCGTTTGCTTCAAGACGGCTACTTCCTGCTGAACAGAACTACAGTCAAGTGGACAGAGAAGCCCTGGCTTTGGTTTTCGGTGTAAGCAAGTTCCACCAATACCTTTGGGGAAGACCGTTCACAGCAGTGACCGACCACAAGCCGTTGCTCGGACTGTTGAACTCCGACAGAGGCGTGCCATGTCAAGCGTCTCCACGAGTTACAAGGTGGGCGCTGACCCTTTCGAGCTACCAGTTCAAGCTAACCTACAAGCCTGGAAGGATGGTAGGCCATGCCGACGGCCTGAGCAGGCTGCCTCTTCCAACGAACGAAAGACCTGATTCGACGCCAGCCGACGTGTTCATGCTTGACAGGGCCTACCCTGATGCTCTATCAGCTACAGCTATTGCTCGAATGACAACAAGAGACCCCGTGATCTCCCAGGTTGTCCACGCTGTCCTCACCGGAACGCCGCTGCCAGTGAGAGGAAACTACGTCCCATTTGCTGCAAGGTACAATGAACTCAGCCTGCACGAGGGCTGTCTCTTGTGGGGATCGCGTGTAGTCGTGCCCAAGCTCATGCAGGCTCAAGTCCTTCAACTACTGCATGCTGGACATCCTGGAATTGAAAAAACTAAGATGATTGCCAGATGCCATGTCTGGTGGCCTGGAATTGACAGCGACATCACAGACCAAGTAAAAAACTGTGCTACTTGCCAAACATATCACAAGTCACCTCGCGGCATCCCAATTACTCCATGGCCATTTCCCGACAAGCCCTGGTCTAGGCTTCATGTAGACTTTGGAGGCCCCTTCATGGGCCATTATTTTCTCGTCATGGTAGATGCTTTCTCCAAGTGGGTGGAGGTTCATCCTGTTCGTTCACCCTCGACAGATGCTACCATTTCTGTATTTAGGACAGTTTTCGCCACTATGGTTTCTGGTGGCGCTAGTAGGCTCTTAACATTCCTCCCCCCTTTAAAGTGTTCGCTCATTGCTCATGGGGAGTAACGCTGAACGGGCCGTCTGTCTCTTGCACTCCGTCTTAGAGCAACGGGAATCCGTTCAACCAT